TTGGTATGAGAATGAAAATGTTGTTTTTAAACTAGGACTTCACATTGTATTAATATTTTAACAGTACTAAAATTAAATAAAATAATCTCTGTTAGACAAAGGTGACCCAAGAAACAGATGAAAAAAATTAAAACTTGTATGTATGGATAATTAGTCCATATTAGTTTCAGTATTCTAAAAGAAAGAAAAGCTCTTTTCTTAAAAATTATTTTCTGGGCCTGGCACAGTGGCTCACACCTGTAATCCCAGCACTTTGGGAGGCTGAGGCAGGTGGATCGCTTGAGTCTAGGAGTTTGAAACCAGTCTGGGCAACAGGGCAAAACCCTGTGTCCATAAACAAACAAAAATATACAAAAATTAGCCAGACATGGTGGCATGTGCCTGTAGTCCAAGCTACTTGGGAGGCTGAGATGGGAGGATCATCTGAGCCAGGGAGGCAGAGGTTGCAGTGAGCCTAAATCTCACCATTGCATTCCGGCTTGCATGACAGAGCGAGACCCTGTCTCAAAAAAATAATTTTCTGCAATGTTAAAGGTAATTATCCAGACATTGTGAGGTGACAAAGTATAGAGTATAAAAATCAGATGCTAGAGTTAGAAAAATTTAACTATTAATCCCACATCGGCTGCATACATATTGGGTATATTACTTAATTTTTGTAAACTCCAGTTTTCTCAACTGAAAAATGGAGATAGTTAACTGTAAGTAGTTAATTAAATAAAAGAGATAATATAAGTGACACCCTTAGCAAACACTGTGTATTGCTGATGGTAAGCAATCAATAGTTGTTATTATTACAATTATATTTCTCTTATTTTTTCATACAGTAGTAAGCTCAATAAAATTAAGTATATAATTTACTTCATACATCTATGTCCCTTGCAGAATTAACTTGTAACTGATGGAAGTAGAGCCAGAAAGGAGGCTTCAGGAAAAATACAAAATTTTCATCTCCACTTCTACATTGATCTGAATGAGTATGTATTAGTTTTTAATGACCATTAGAAAAAGATAAAATATGTACTCATACGTTTCCTAAGGAATCTTATAATAAATGAAATAATCAGCTTTTGCCCTAATATTATATTTAAGTTATTTAGGGGGTTGGGGGTGAGGAGGAGGGAACAAAATGCCTATGATTTCCTTAATTGAATATCTTAGTTTTAAAAATATCTATATATCCTGAGTGCACATGTATTGAAGGCAAAATACTCTACACTTACTCCATAAATGCTTTGAATAACATAATAGTAATATCCAAAGTTTAAAAACTAGAAGGTAATTTCACCACAATATCGAGA